GTCGTCTTAAGAATTAACGCCCCGATCCCCTATTAACTATTTGCCCTAAGTCTATTTCTGCTAATTTGATTTTTCGGGATGTTCGGTTTTGAGTTTCGGAGAGTTTTGGGACACTTAGTCCCTGAATGAGAGCTTAAGTGCTGGAAATTTGCCCGTAGTCGGAACAGTATGAAGATGGCCTCGGAATGGAAATCCGATGGTTCCGTTAGCTCCGTTAGGTGATTTCGGGGTTGGGAGCGTGTTCGGAATGTGTTTTGGAGGTCCGTAGCTGATTTAGGCTTGAAATGCTGAAGTTTGAATTTTTGAAGTTTCCGCCCGATAGTGAGATTTTGATCCGAGGGTCGGAATGGAATTCTGGAAGTTGCAGTAGCTCCATCATGTCATTTGGGATATGTGTGTAAAATTTCAGGTCATTCGAACGTGGTTTGGTTAGGTTTTTGATCGAAAGCGTATTTTGAGGAAAGTTGGAGTTCTTAGGCTTAAATCATTGATTAATTCGAGTTTCCGACGTTGTTTTAGGTGGTTTATGGATTGGTACAAGTTTGAATGATGTTATGGGATATGTCCGTAGGTTTGGTTGAGGTCCCTGGGGCCTCGGGTGTGTTTCGGATGCTCAACGGAGCATTTTGGAGTTATAAGATATTGCAGAAATTCTCTTCAGCTGTTGCAGACCATTTTCTTCTTCGCGATCGCGTCCCAGCTCACGCGATCGCATAGAGCAATCTGGAGGAGGGCCCAATTTCCTTAAACGTGATCGCATGGGTTGATTCGCGATCGCGTAGCTCTGCCCTTTCCTCTTTCTCGTTCGCAGCTTCTCCTTCGCGTTCGCGTAGTGTAGACTGAGTCGGTGGCCTAGAGGCCCATTCCCTCTTCGCGTTCGCGTGTCCTCAAACGCGATCGCGTAAGGCCAGCTCCTCTTCTTCCGCGATCGCGAGCCCTTTCACGCGTTTGCGTTGGCCTTTTTGCTGGAGCCTTTATTTTACTCTACGCGATCGCGGCCCCACTTTCGCGATCGCGATTCATTAAACACCTAGGCAGTTATAAATGTTTCAAAACCGAGTGTTAGCCATTTTTATCAAAATACAAGCTTGGGAGCTCGGATTTGGGGGAAATTTTGAAGGTTTTTCGAGGGCAACTACTGGGTAACAATTCTCTACTCTCATTTGCTTAAAACCCACTAATCTAATCACGAATTCATCATTAATTTCGGATTTTTGAATGAAAAGTAGGGAAAACTTCATAGACCAAACTATTGAGTTTTGAGCGGGTGTTTGACCTCCGATTTGGGAGATTTTTATATGGTTAGACTCGTGAGAGTACGAGGGTTCTGAAAATGTTAATTTCATCCGATTCCGAGACGTTGGCCTGAGGGGCGTTTTGGTCATTTTACCTAATTTCGCGTCTTAGCTTTGAATTAAATAGTAGAATCAGTTGCTTGAGATGTTATTTACGATATGTAATTGAATTGAATAGATTTGGGCCATTTGGAGTCGGTTACTCGTGGCAAACGTGTGGTTTCGGGTTGATTTTGGAGCCGGTTCGCGGTAAGTGGCTTGTCTAACCTTGTGTGAGGGACCTTTCCCCTTAGGATATGATATTGGTAAATGAATGCCTTGTACGTGAGGTGACGAGCGCGTACTTGAGATAATTTTTGAAAAATCCGGTTTTACTTTAAATATTTACACTGAGTTTCTTTCTTATTGCTTTATTTTTATTTGCAATTATAGACTGTGTTAGCTAGAAAAGCATGCTTAGTTATTCCAAACTGCCTATCTACTCAAGTTGCCTTGTTTGTACTACGTGAAGCATCTTAGGATAGAACTACCTGTAGCCTTGTATCTTTGAACTTCATTTCTGGATGTCTTGTTGCTGTGACTGCGTATTTACATTGGGATTATGGATGTGGGATTCCGGTAGCTCCCCCCTTATTTGTTTACTTTGGGACTGCGGGTTCGATTCCCGATAGATCCCCCTGCATATTTACTTTGGGACTGCGGGTTAGATCCCGATAGATCCCCCTGCACATTAATAGTTGGACTACGGGATGGTATCCCGGGAGATCCTTCGGATATACTCATATGGTGGACTACGGGACGGTATCCCGGGAGCTCCTTGGACAGTGGATGAAAGGGACTACAGGACGGTATCCTGGGAGATCCTCGTTGTTGGTATTGATATTGAGCTGTTTTACTCTGTGTTATCTTATTCTTTGAGTGTTAATTGTTGCCTTGTATAACCTGTCTTACTCAATAGTTGTACTCATTATTTTCGTTTATTTCATGCTGTTGCAAGATTTATTATTATATTTTATCTCAGCAGGGCCCTGATCTTCCTCGTCACTACCCGACTGAGGCTAGGCTTGGCACTTACTGAGTACCGCTGTGGTGTACTCATGCCCCTTCTGCGCATGTTTTTCATGTGCAGATCCAGGTACTTCATCCCAAGCGTATCACTCTCGAGGCGGAGAGATTTAGCAGAGACTTCGAGGTACATCTGCCGCGTCCGCAGACTAGGAGTCTCTATCTTATTCTAGCTTTAGCAGTTAGCTTTTCCTTTCGTACTTTTGCTTTAGACATTATGGAGATTTGAGCATTTACAGTACTTCTTCTAGCTTGTGTTCCCGTGAGTTTCCGGGTTTTGGGATGATATTGTAGACTTTCGCATTTTTTTTTGGTTGTATATGCCGGGCGGCGTTTATATACAGTTACCCTTCTAGTTTGTTTGGTTTAATTATTTATTTCCGTAAGTTATGCTACTTCCGTATTGTTAGGCTTACCTAGTCATAGGGACTAGGTGCCATCACGACATGTTCACGGAGGGCAAACTGGGGTCGTGACAAGTTGGTATCAGAGCTCTAGGTTCATAGGAGTCACGGAACACAGGCCGGTTTATTAGAGTCTCGCTGATCGGTACGGAGACGTCTGTACTTATCTACGAGAGGCTATGTAACTGTTAGGAAAATTTTCACTTCATTTGATTTCCTCATCGTGCGATATTTTGACATCACAATTCTAAACTTCTATCTTCTATTCTCTCACAAATGGTGAGGACACGCGCTACTCGGGATGATCAGGCACTCGCGCCCCCTACTGCAGTCGTCAGAGGCCGGGGCTGGGGTAGAGGTCAAGGACGCGCCCGTGGTGCAGCCAGAGCACCTGCGCGAGCTTCCGCCGAGGCACCATCAGCAGATTCAGCCGGAGCCCAGGCACCTGGCACACCTACTACTGCCACTACTGCTCCAGCTCTTCAGGAGACTTTGGCTCAGTTCATGAGTATGTACACCACCTTGGCTCAGGCAGGGTTGCTTCCCCTTGCTGCAGCCACATCCCAGGCCAGGGGAGGAGCACAGACTCCTGCCGTCCGCACTCCTGAGCAGCGAGTGCATGTTGAGCAGGCTCTCGAGATTATTCCCGCACCGCCTGCAGCGCCAGTTCAGCCCGAGGACGGGTCAGCTACTTCAGAGGACGAGCAGCGGAGACTTGAGAGGTTCAAGAAGTACGATCCCCTAGTATTCAATGGATTAGCATCAGACGATGCCTTGGGATTTCTAGAGGAGTGTCACCGTATTCTTCGCACTATGGGCATAGTAGAGTCTAGCTGGGTTTCCTTCATTGCCTTCCAGCTTCGGGGAGCCGCCTATGATTGGTGGCGCACATATGAGATTGACAGTCCAGTCGAGGCTGCCTCACTGACCTGGACCCAGTTCTCAGATATGTTCATGAGAGAGTTTGTTCCCTAGAGTCTCAGGGACGCATGGCGCGCAGAGTTTGAGCATTTGCGCCAGGGTGCTATGACCGTTTCGGAGTATGCTATCCGCTATACCAGGTTGGCCAGGCATGCACCGGCCTTGGTTGCTACAATTCGTGAGAGAGTTCGCAGGTTCATTGAGGGTCTTATCCCACCCATCAGATCTAGCATGGCTCGAGAGTTGGAGATGGACATTCCTTATCAGCAGGTAGTGAGCATTGCTAGGAGGATTGAGGGTATGCTCGCCAGGGAGCGAGGGGAGAGGGAGGCCAAGAGGTCTCGAGAGTCAGGTCACTACTTTGGTGCCCATACCCCAGCAGCAGGTCGTTATGGCAGAGGTTATGTGGGTCGCCCCGTTCATTCAGCTCTTCCAGCAGCCAGCAGTACTCCAGCTCCACCTACACCTTAGGAGCCTTACTATGCACCTCCGGTTTCTAGCGCGCCTCCTGCGCGAGGTGCTTCCAGAGGTCAGTCCGGCAGACCTGGACCTAGCCAGTCACAGCCACCGCGTCCTCCCAGAGCTTGTTTCGAGTGTGGTGATACACGCCACATGGTTAGGGATTTCCCCAGACTTGGTAGGGGTGCATCTTCACAGACTGCTCAGCCACAGCGTGCTCCTCAAAGTTCTCAAGCCATGGTCACAGCTCCAGCTGCTACCCCGTCTGCCCAGCCGGCTAGGGGCGGAGGTCGGGGAGATAGAGGTCGCCCTCGAGAGAGGGGCCCGGGCCAGATATTATGCTATTCCTGCTCGTACCGAGGTTGTTGCCTCCGACTCCGTCATTACAGGTATTATACTGGTTTGTCACAGAGAGGCATCGGTTCTATTCGATCCGGGCTCTACTTATTCTTATGTGTCTTCTTACTTTGCTCCACATTTGGGTGTGCCTCGGGATTCTTTGAGTGCCCCCGTTTATGTTTCGACTCCTATGGGGGATTCTCTTATTGTGGACCGCATTTATCGGTCATGTTTGGTTACTATTCGTGGTTTTGAGACCGGAGCGGATTTATTGTTACTCGGTATGATTGATTTTGATATTATCTTGGGCATGGACTGGTTGTCGCCCCATTTTGCTATTCTTGATTGTCACGCCAAGACCGTGACGCTGGCTATGCCAGGTATTCCGCGTATTGAGTGGAGTGGTACTTTAGATCACACTCCCAGTAGAGTTATCTCTTTTCTTAAAGCTCGGCGTATGGTTGAGAAGGGGTGTGCCGCATATTTAGCTTATGTGAGAGATGTNGTCGTTGGAGGCCGCGTTCTTGATTCAAACCTTGCCCCGTATAGACTTCTCCAAATTTAAGCAACTCTTCCAACTTGTCTGCTTGATGTTGTCGAAGTGACTCCATGCGCTTAAATGAAGACCCAATAGTATTCAAAACATTAGTCACAACATAAAATAAATTATCCACATCCGAATGCTTTTTAGAAAGAGCTACAAGTGCTAGTTGCAATTGATGAGAAAAACAGTGAATACAATATGCAGATGGAGTATCTTGTAAAATTAAAGACTTGAGACCATTTATTTTTCCTTGCATATTACTAGCTCCATCATAACCTTGTCCATGTATCTTGGATTTACTTAAAAAATGATCCAAAAGCAAAGAATAAATTGCTTTTTGTAATGATGAGGAAGAAGTATCACTCACGTGGACAATACCCAAGAATTGCTCTATCACCATTCCATTTTTGTTGACATATCGCAAAATTAAGGCCATTCGCTCCTTATGTGAGACGTCCTTTGATTCATCAACTAATATTGCAAAATAATCACCATCCAAATCTTCAATAATAGCTTTAGTTGTTTCTTTAGCACAAGCTTCCACAATCTCTTTTTGAATTGTTGGACAAATCATCATATCATTTTGTGGAGCATGACGTAATATTACTCTTCCCACATCCGGATGTCGATCTCCATGCCATTCCAAAAGTTCAAGAAAGCCACCTTTATATTCGGATTCTTCACTTTCATCATGTCCACGAAATGGAAATCCCGATCTTAAAAGAAATCTTGCCACATCAATTGATGCATTTAAGCATATCCGGTAATCACTTTTTACTTTTTCACTTAGCTTATCAAAAGAAGATTGAATTGATTGACGTTGATTTTTCAAATCTAGCATCCTATTGAAGCATTTGTGATGGATTTTATTTACTTCACAAACATGTGCTTTTAAGCTTTCCACACCCCTGTTCCATCCCCTAAAACCATCTTTTGTAAATGCATCCCCGGCATTTCCACGGCTTTCAAGTTCATTCTTAAACAAATAACAACACAAGCAAAATGCCGCATCTCCTTTTATGCTATACTCCAACCATTGAGAATATGGTCCCTTAAACCAAGTGGGACTAAATTGACGCATTTTACTCCCAATCTTAGTTTTAGGAAAGGCATGACCAATCGATTGACAAGGCCCTTTGTTTATATAATATCTCCTCACTTCATCTCGAATATTAGGACCATAATCCGAGATTGGCATTCTTTCTTTCGGATCCGATTCAAACGATTTCAAGTCAAACACTTTATTCACATTTGAAAGCAGAGAAAGATTTGTCCCCCTTTGAACTTCCGGAGCAATTTGTGAACTCATGGATGGCCAACTAGCACTAGAACTTGGTTCACCATTTTTCGGCTTGGTGAGAAATCTATCCACTTTAATTCTTATGGATTGTTCCTGCAAAATTGTATATTCACACTTTTATTTAATCTATCTTGATTCAAATAAATCGTTAAACTCAAACCAATTGGTAACACAAAAAAATGTTATTCAACATTTACTTCAAACATTGCTTTGCCAGCTAATTTAACATAACTCTCTTAGAGAGCATGAAAGTTTAAAGCTGTCAGAAGCAGAAACGGCCCACACCAGTTAGCCTTGGGTATAAAAGTATCTGACTCGGCCAAACATTTTCTCAAACATAATATGTGCACAAATTCAATAAACTATCATAATTCAAGACTTCAAAGCCCCAGCTCTCCCAAATTCCCAATAGAAATTAGAAATAGCATTCAACGGCTTCTCATTTCATTAATAAACAATCATAACCACTATTAACAAGATAAAATCTCAGCAAGAGATTCAACCATTGAGCAAAACAGAAAAGCAGAGAGCGCGAAATAGGCTAGCAGCGAGTGAATTGAAATACATAGCAAGGAGAGTGAGAGTAGTTACATACCTGAGAATTTTAAAGGAATGTGAAGGAGAAATTGTTGCTTTCTTGAAGAATCCACATTCCAAGTCACATAGAACCGAGAGAGAGAGACAGAGAGTTGAGAGGGAGACAGAGAGTTGAGAGTATTTTGTTTCTAGGGATTTGATGATTAATACCTAAATTCCCCCCTTAAAAAACGTGGGATCTGTTTTTAGACAAGAGGGACTTTTAAATAGAAAAAAAAAAAATTAAAAAAAACATAAAGTGCCAAAGAATTGATCCCGTGACCTGGGGTGTATAGGGGCACAAAGTTACCAGTGTACCAAGGTAGTCATTTGAGTATGGGTGCCCACAAACATATTTATATAGATAATTTTAAAATTAGTACTATTTATACTTAGCCTAGGGAGGGGAGCATGGGTACACGTACCCCACCCCCCTCCACATAAATCCGCCTCTGTGTGTAAGAGTACTACAAATAAGGGTCTGAAAGAAATAACAAAATACTGTCTCTAGAACTACATAGGAGAAGCAGGAAAATAGATAGAGGGAGACACCAAGGCCTGCGGACGCCTGCAGGACTACCTCGGATCGCCTGGTAAGTAGGAAGTTGAAATCTCACTGCGGTCCGAAATCTGCAGCACTGGGATCTGCACAAAATAGTGCAGAGTGTAGCATCAGCACAACCAACCTCATGTGCTGGTAAGTGCCTAGCCTAACCTCGGCCAAGTAGTGACGAGGCTAGGACCAGACTACCAAATAAACTTGTGCAGTTATATAATATACAGCGAAATATAAACAGAAATAAACAAGTAAAGATGGGAGGGGTACATGCTGCGGGGTATATCAGTTTCAATAGTAAATCAAGAGCAAGGCACAAGGACAACTTAAAATTCACAACGAAACAACAAGGAACTTATATTCCATCCCTAAACACTTGGTATCAACAATTTTTGCGGCGCGCAACCCGATCCCAACATATAACAATACTGTTGCGGTGTGCAACCTAACCATATCATTTATCACTGTTGCGGCGTGCAACCCGATCCAAATATATCATTGTTGCGGCGGGCAACCCGACCCAAATATATCATTATTACGGCGTGCAACCCGATCCAAATATATCATTGTTGCGGCGTGCAACCCGATCCAAATATATCATTGTTGTGGCGTGCAACCCGATCCAAATATATCATTGTTGCGGCGTGCAACCCGATCCAAATATACAATCACAACAACCATAACAAGAGTCCAGCAAGGGATAAATAAGAACTACACTATCCCGGCAAGGGTGTCAACAATAAGAATGAACACATCCCGGCAAGGGAAGATCAGCTATAACCAAACTTGTTCCAACATCTACTACCTCAACCAACACCAATACTCAACCATTAGTAATCTCTACGAGAATGATTATAAACCTTGCTCAACACAGAGAGTCAACAACTTAGGCATTCGTAGTAGTTCTCAATAACACAATAATTTCAATTTAAGACTCACGGTCATGCTCGACATCGACGTATAGATACTCATCGCCACACTTATACGTCGTACTCCACACATATCATATAGCATACAAGATCAAACTCCTATTCCCTCAAGCTAAGGTTAGACCAAGCACTTACCTCGATGCCACGAACACCGTTCAAGCCTCAACTATAGCTTTTCCTCGTGATTCCACCACCAATTCGCTCGTATCTAGTCACAAGTTACTTAATTACATCAATGAATACTAAATAAATAATTTCTAATGCATGGAAATAAGTTTTCTAAAGCTTTTCCCAAAAAGTCAAAAATCAGTCCCGGGCCCACATGGTCAAAACCCGAGGTTCGAACCAAAACCCGACTACCCATTCACTTATGAACTCAAATATATAATTTGTTTTGAAATCGGATCTCAAATCGAGGTCCAAATCCTCTTTTTTTTGAAAAACCTAGGTTCTACCCAAAACACCCAATTTTCCCATGAAAATCATTGGTTTTGAGTTGAAATCATGTTAAAAAGTGTTAATGATTGAAGGATACTAGTAAAAATTGACATACAATCGATTTGGAAGACGAGTTGTTCTTGAAAAATCGCCCTAGGGAGTTTTTGTTTTGAAAAGATGTGAAAAGGGTTGTTTTTCGGCTAAGTATAAAAAGTTGCAAGCTGCAGTTATGGGAATTGCGAACAGGGGTTCGCAATTGCGAACCCCGACCTCTGCTATGCTAGGAATTGCGAAGGGAGGTTGGGAAATGCGAACTGGAAATTGCGAAGGGAGGTTGGGAAATGCGAACTGGGAATTGCGAAGGGAGTTTGGCAAATGCGAAGCCTGCCTGCAATTCCTTAAGTCCAAAATTTCACCCCGTGGCCTATCCAAAACTCACCCGAGCCCTCGGGGCTCCAAACCAAACATGCACACCACCCTAAGACATCATACGGACTCGCTCGTGCATTTAAATCACTAAAATAACATCAACAACTATGAATTTAGCATCAAAATCATGAAACTTTCTCAAGACTTCAAATTTCCAATTTTCTCAATAACTATCTGATTCACGTCGTTTCAAGTCCGTTTCTTACCAAATTTTACCGACAACACATATAAATCAAATTGAACCTGTACCGGGCTCCGGAACCATAATACGGGCCCGATACCATAGGTTTCACATAATATTTCACTTTCAAAAACCTTTATATTTTTCAGAAAATAATTTCTTTCAAAAATTTATTTTTCGGGCTTGGGACCTCGGAATTCGATTCCGGGCATACGCCCAAGTCCCATATTTTCCTACGGACCCTCCGGGACCGTCAAATCACGGGTCCGGGTCCGTTTACCAAAGATGTTGGCCGAAGTCAACTTAATTCATTTCAAAGCCAAATTTTATCATTTTTCACAGATTTTCACATATAGACTTTTCGGCTACATGGTCAGATTGCGCACGCAAATCGAGGTGATGCTGAAAGAGGTCCTTAAGGCCTCGAAACACAGAATTTAATTTAAAAACAAAGGTCATCATCACAATTTTATTTGGTGTTTTTATAAAGTTTGACTTTTCAGGTAATACGGGAGCTAATGATTTTATATTTACAATTTAACTGTGTTATCACACGTTCTTAATTGAACTTAGTTTATTTTTCCACCGGTGAAATTTATGTTTAGAAAAAGAAATATTGTGAAGTTAGGCCATCCAAAATATGTAAACCTACTTAATCAGAACACTGGTGCAAAGATTTAACAGTAAATTACTAAGCCTTAAAACGACATGAAAAAAATAGAAGTTTACTTTTGAAAAGTTATCAATTATAGATAAAATATTAGGAAATGAGAGGCTTTATTGTAGCAAGATTTATAGAGTTTTTGATAAATATCTCAAGGTTAGACTTTATTGTTAAAATTAAATAAAGAGATTAGGTGTGACGATCCAAAGGGTCATCACCTGTTTTAAATAAATTATGTGCTTCCGAGACCTTCAAAACCTCGTTTAGAGTCGCCTCGATTTGCGTGCGCAGTCCGGGCACGTAGCCGAAAACCTTAAATGTGAAATTCTATGAAAAAATGCTAAATTTTGATGTTAAAAAGAATAAATTTGACTTTGGTCAACATTTTGGGTAAACGGACCCAGACCCGTGATTTGACGGTCCCGGAGGGTCCGTAGGAATATATGGGACTTGGGCGTATGCCTGGAATCGAATTCCGAGGTACCAAGCCCGAGAAATGAATTTTTTTGTAAAATTATTTTTTGAAATTGTTTAAGCAAATTGGAAATAAAATTTGATTAGAAAGTGATGGTATCGGGCCCGTATTTTGGTTCTGGCCGGTACAGGTCTTATATATGTTTTAAGTCCTTCCTGTGGAATTTGGTTGAAAACGGACGTCGTTTGACGTGATTCGGACTTAAATTGGAAAATTTGATGTTTTATGAAGTTTGAAAGAATTCATGGATTTTGAGGTTTAATTCGATGTTTAAGATGTTTTTTGGGCGATTTGATCGCACGAATAAGTCCGTAGGATATTTTTGAGGTTGTGTGTATATTTAGTTTGGAGCCCTGAGGGCTTGTGTGAGTTTTGAATAGGCCACGTGTGCATTTTTGAATAGGCCACGTGTGAAAAATAGCTGGTGTGTTCTGATCTGCAGGCTTCGCATTTGCGAAGCCAGTCTCGCAAATGCGAGCTCGCAAATGCAAGCCATGCATCGCAAATGCGATGCCCGCCTAAATCCTCTGTGATGGCAAATGCGATCTCTTCTTCGCAATTGCGAAGTCGCAAATGCGACTATTGTTTCGCAAATGCGAAACTTAGGGATTTCAGAAGGGTTCGGAAATGCGAACCCTATTTCGCAATTCCCACATCTGCAGAGGTCGGGGTTCGCAATTGCGAACCCCTGTTCGCAATTCCCATATCTGCAACCTGCATTTTCTATACTTAGTCGATTTTTAAGTCATTTTTACACCATTTTCAAAACACAACTCCTTTGGGCGATTTTTCAAGAACAAACCTTCTGCCAAATCAATTGTAAGTTAGTTTTTACTCATTTCTTTCAATCATTTACATCTTTTAACATGATTTCAACCTAAAATCAAATTTTCATGGGGAAATTGGGTGCTTTGGGTAGAACCTAGGTTTTTCAAAAATTGAGAATTTGGACCTCAATTTGAGGTCCGATTTCAAAACAAATTACATATTTGAGTTCGTGGGGGAATGGGTAATCGGGTTTTGATTCGAACCTCGGGTTTTGACTACGTGGGCCCGGGGGTGATTTTTGACTTTTTGGGCAAAACTTGGGAAAACACATTTTCATGCATTGGAGTTGATTCATTTAGTGTTGATTAATGTAATTAAGTAATTTGTGATTAGATACGAGCGAATTGGCGGTGGAATCGCGGGGTAAAGCTATAATTGAGGCTTGAGTTGTATTCAAGGCCTTGAGGTAAGTGTTTGGTCTAACCCTAGCTTGAGGGACTAGGAGTTGAGTCTTATTTGCTAATTGCTTCTTGTTGAGTACGACATATAGGCATGGTGACGAGTGTCTATACGTTGGTGTCTAGTATGACCGTGAGTCCTTAAATTGTGAATATCTTCACTTCGTTGTATTTTTCTTGTCTTGGTGATGATTCCTATTTGTTGTGAAAAGCTTGTGAAAGGAAATCGTGACCTATGAACA